GTAATGAGAAGATTCTGAACTTGTTCAGTGAATCCTTCTGAGAAATGCATAATACAATTCTTTAAGTATTTTTATGTTGATGTTTTACTATGTATCACCCAGCATCTGATATTCAAGGCCATATGTTATAACATTTTTAAAGATAAAAAGTATAGTTTATCTGCAAATGGCAGGGCTTCAATTATTAAGAAGGCTCTGAACAGTAATGGTACCTTAAGTAATTTTTTATGTTTTCTTTGTCAGTTACAATACATGAGCATCAATTTACTGCCTCTTTGTTTATGTGGCCAGTCTAGTCCTGAGACTTTTGTCATAAGAAAAGGAGGCAACTTCTATTAGCAACATGAACAATGTAGAAAAGCTTTCTAGAAGCTAGACTGCATATGTCATCTTTCATCTTTCAATATTAACTTATATGAAGAAAGATGATGATATGATGATGATGACATTCATTTCTCCCAAAACCTCATCTAATCATTAAATTAAAAATAACAGGGTTAAGCATCCAATAATTATTTCTATATTTGTACGCTCAAAATTATTTAATGACCATGCTTTGTTCTGCTGATAAAAACACGAGTTTCACATGGTACGATCTGCTGATCCCCTCTAGCTATGTCAAGGGTCACCTGCTTTAAAGCCCAAAGCTTGGGGTCAACACAGGGCCTGTAGGAAGTGATTTCATGACCGAAAAGATGTCAGCTTGTTTTCCTTTTTTCCTTTCCTGTTGTGTTCTGATAGGGACTTCCTCTCTAGTGGGAGTGGAAGTGGGTGTCACTCTCCAATTCGCCCACGCCATGAGCGGAAATGTCCATCACACACACACACCGCCATTCCAGTGGTGCAGGGGTGAGGGGGGCGGGGCCTGGGGAGATGAGCGTCTCTGTGTGGGATTCCGCTCTGATGATTAATTAACATTTTGTCTCCACGCTGGTGACACCAGGATGAGTGTCTCCTGCTTTGGTTTTTTATCTCCCCCGTATTTCACACTCATTCACAAAAACACACAGGCACCGAGGGCACGGTGACCTATCCAAGTTTATATTTTAGCCTTCCTGATAGTGTACTAAGACAGAAGGAAAAAAATTATCTATTGTGAAAAAATTCCACAAGTTCTCTTGTTCTCTCCTAACAGTAATCTCCTCTAAAACTGCACCATACGGCAGAGAAAGTGCATTCTTTAACTGATTAAAACTGCCAGGGTAGCTTCAAGTCCTCACTATCAAAACTACAGAACTGTGTATTTAATTTGTAGTAGTTAAAGAATAATTTAATCACTGAATACTAAGTCTTACGATTAGTTTAAGCACTCTAGGCTCATTATTCTGTTCTTAATCTTAAGTCTTATTCAATTATTAATCTTTAGACTTATTATTCAGTGACTATACACAACTATAAAGTACTATGAAACTAATATGTAAGTTCTGAAAGTGTGGGCTCAGATACAAGCCACTGCAGTTTAAGTGGTTAAAAACCTGCTACGGCAATGGTAAAAGGTTTTGCCCCAGCAATACACAGCACATTCGCATGGTAATCTTCCAAAACATTTCTGCGTAAATAAAGCAGCCTGCGCTGGTGGTCCGCCCGTCTTCCTGCCGCAGCCTTAGTCACAGGGACTCAGGTGGCTGGGGCAGCGTGACATAAGCGCACCGCTGCACTGCTCTCTTCCTCCCTACGCTGAAAGATTAGTAGGAGCAAGTGTCCTGCCGGCAGTGCCCCCCAGCCGCAGGAAATAACATCAGCAACCGTGTCTAACGAGGATGTGAGCTGCTGCGATGGCACATTAACGACAGGGCCTAGGACAGCCAGCCGCATCTCCAGAACAAAAGACAACATGGCCGCGATTCAATGAGAATTGTTTTATAAGGGACAATAGCAACAAGCGGGCAGCACTTCAAAGAGGCTGGGAAAAGAGAGCTGAGTTGCACTTGGGTCTTAAAGCATTTAGTGTTTTTCCTTATAACTGTGATATTTATGTAAAAGTTATTTTCAGCAGATTGTGTGGGAATTTCTCACAGGATGTGAGCACTGTACATAATCACCCTTACTGATGCATTAACTGATAACTGATGAATTGGATGGTCTAAATATCAGGCTACATATCAAGCTAAACATTATATGGGCTAAATATTAGACTACCTTACTGGATAGGCTAAGTTTTGGGGTAAATATTGGATGGGCTAAACAGGGATCAAAATATTGGGTCAAATATTGGATGAGCTAAATATCGGATTAGCTAAATATCAGTCAAGAGCTTATGTGATCTTGAAGAAGAACATTTCAGGTCACAGAAGAGCTGGCCACAAACTGTGTATATTGAATGGGAAAAACATGCACATCCCATTCAATGCTGATTTTTCTCATGTCAAGAGAAGTTCTGGTATCTCTCTCTCTTGTCCACATTTGAATGTGATGGCGGACCTCTCGTGCGGCCGGGCAGCCAGCTCTGACAGCACAGTGCAGGTGTGAAATAGAACAGGAATTAGTGCAGCACCTCCGCTGGTGAGTAACAAGCCTGCGAGTCAGGAGATCCCAGTGGGGGAGAGGGAGACTGTGCGTGTGTGTGAGAGTGAGTGTGAGCGAATGTGTGTGTGTGAGTGGGAGACAGCCAGCCAGCAGAGGTCCTGTGGCTGACAGCAGGTCCCTTGCCAGGATGTGTAACCGCACACTGCCAAAACAGGAAGCCCTGCAACTCCCTCAGTGACTGACACACCAGCTCACTGGTGGAAGTCCACAGAGAACCCTGCGAGCCCAAAAGTCCATGCTAGGCTATGATTGTGGGGTCACCTTGTGTGGGGAAGCTGAGCACTCACTCCGTTCCACAGCATAGTAGCTTGCCCTTCTGTCTAACTTAGGTGAATAAGACAAAGTTAACAAGGGCTGATAACTGCTGCTAGAAATTCTGATAACCCATAACATCTGCTGATTGATATGAAATCATTTTAAACAGTGCTTTACTAACAGATACCATTGTCAGCTGTCAACTGTCACATTTCCTCTAATACACAGGAGAATTTCAAAAAGTGTTAAATGATACAAATACTGTAACGCAGAGGTGGAGCTTCACAGAATTCTTCGAGGCTTTGTTCAGTTCAATCCATATTTTCAATATATTTTTAATGTTTTAAGTCACTTTAAGTCAGTTATATTAACAGTTTTATTTTTAATCTAGGTAGGTGTGTTTATTTTATTCATTTTTAACTAAGGTTTTTTTTACCAGTTCAGCCTGTATTAGATTATTGGTAAGGCCCTAAAAGGTAATCAACTGTTTGTAATGTTTACATAATGAACCTTATGGCCCAATTGTAATTTTTTGCTCTGGTAGTGTCTTTCTACGACATGTCAGAAGAATTTAGATCTAACTGCTCATTACAATCACATGGTCACATACTGGACTGTGCAAAAGACACTGTCCTTCATTTCCATCAGATTCCATCTCCATACTAATTTCCATTTCCTTTTCTGAAAGTCTGAAAGGATGTGTAGCTGTCAAAGATCCATTATTGAGAAAAAGAAGCATACAAAAACTAGCAGAGCAAACAAAGAAGCTGCTTGTGTTCTCAGAATAACAGACTGGGCACCCAGAGCCCAGATCTAATTGAATGTGTTTGGGATTACACACGTAACCAACTTCTAAGACTTTAGAAGTGTTTGGAAAAATATCCCTGCAGCGTTCTTTGAAAAACTGAAAACAAGACTCCCAGAATGGAAGCAGTAATAAAGGCAAAGTGTGGACACACTTATATATATATATATATATATATATATATGTATATGTATATATATATATACACATACATACATATATATATATATATATATATATATATATATACACACACTGGCATATGAATATATAATAGGTATTTTTACTGGAAATCAATTAAATAGTCTCTGACTTGCACAGTACAGTATCAGTACTTTAAGTCAGGAGTGCAGGTCGTCTCTATTATGAGTCCAAATGACTAGCACTGCTTTAGGGCTGTACAATTTCTTTTTCTGAAACTTTTTCAAAAACTTTTGCTGTAAACATTCTAACCATATGTTTACTGCATTTTTGCTGATTAAGGACTCCTAATGAAAATCAGCTAAATCATAAGACATGCTATAAACCAGCATTTCATATAAAATAATTGTGTGATTGTAAATGTGGCTTTAGTAATCACTGAATCATCAAGGACACAGAAGGCCTAAATTAGATGTGTATGTGGATCTTGGTGTCAAATGGGATCAATATGTGGAGATTTCTGCACTGGACCAATTTAAATGAATGAAAACACCAAACACTGCAGGGCCAGCCTGGTGTTCTGCAGGAGTTCAGCGCAGCTGAGAATGATCAGCAGTTCTGTGGGGATCTGTCGCTTTGTGACACAACACACGATTCGCACAGATCACCAGTGCGTGCTCCAGTGAGTGCCAATCAACTCTAAGCCCCGCCTCCATCTCTGCCTGCCCCCAGTCCTGTGACCTTGGCCAGAGGGAGAAGCCTCCCACACTGTGTACACCTCAAATTGATTCACACCTCTGGGAATCCGGCAATTTCCATGTAAAAACCTCCACTGAACTAAACTGTATATACTTAGGTATTGCATTTCGATCCACCACCCCAAACAGAAAGAAAAGCAATGCTCAAAACTTCACATTACAGAGTAGATGGGGACCACCCAAAAAAAGAACAAAACAGGGTGAAGGGATGTGTCTGGTAAATCAGTGTTAGTTAAAAGTGTGGCTGGTTGGGTAAAATAAGAACGAACTGAGCTAGTACCACAGTTCTTTTATGCTGATGGCCACCAGAGGGCCACTGCCTTTGACAATTTCACAACATGCAAGTCTGACCATAAGAGAACACTTGTCCAAAATAACAACCCACTGGGTGTTAAACCTGATTACTTATAGAGACATTTAAAATGCATATGAATGTAAAAACAGTATGAATGTTTTAATTACTACAAATAGCTACAGGTCAAATTTCATGCAGAAATTTTATCAGTGAGACTCACCTGTCCAGTCATGTGGATGCCACTGGCACGAAAAGTGGGATCTTCTTCTAGGTTGCCATGGACACAAGGGAAGGAAAGATGTCCTGTGGAATATCACAGGGTCACATAAGCCAGAAAAACAATCTGAAGGCTGAAGCACACAGACATCCTCATCTCCAACAATGCTAACAAGTATGCTTTAAATATGTTGCAATGAAATTGTTTGAGATTCCTAAACAGAACAGTAACTACACTGTAAATAGTAACAGTATACTTAATAACAAAGTTGTAAGCAAGTTTACTTATTTTATTCTATTAAGTTTTCAGAAGAGAAATTTGTAGAATTAACCCTAAAATAATTTTTTAATTTAGTTAGCAGCCAATTTAACAACCTTTTTAGGTAATCCCAATTGCATTTTAGTATCCATATTTAGCAACAAAGGTTAAGGATTTTTCATAAACAGAATATTATTTAGAAACACAAACAAGAGAAATAGTAAACATAATATGTAGCATTTATATGCCTGTATGACGTGCATGCACACAAAGGGGATTTTGCGTGGGAGTCAGAATTTGGCACAACAGCTGTTGTCTAAAGTGGCTGCCTGTAGGGATCAGCTACAAGCTACAAGTTTTGTTCATTTTTATAGCACACAGTAAGGCAGACTGTGCCACAAACCACACTGACAAATCTGTATGACCTTATTGAACACCAAGATGCAGTTTCAGCAGGTTGAGAGAAATTTTGGGCATGTATTTATAAAAAAGATTTTGGTGACTACTTGTGTTTGCTAGTGACATTAGCCTTATAATCTTTGCAATACTTACATTGCAGAAGGTTTCAATATGCAAAAGAGTAACTAACAAGTCACTGAATGTTCAGTTGTGTGCTTTATGTAGGATTGTAATCACTTTATAAAAATTCTATTCATATTGTGCAGATCCTAATACATGAGAGATAACAGAGGACTCAGTCCCAAATTCTTGGGTCAATAAATCTATTGCTTGTCTGAGTCAATGTATACTGCAGTGGGTGAGGTACTTGACAGATTAAGATTAACATGGGTTTCAACACTCCTGAATAAAAGTTGCATTTATTGGATGTCTGGTCCTGTCTGATCAACTAAAGACACACTACTCAGTCTAGTTTCACACTGCTCAAGGAATGAGTTTCTTCTTGTGAACTGGTGAACTTCAGTCTAATTATACTGTCAACAAAAAAGTGTAGTTTTCCTCCCTTATGAAAAACTGTAAGGGAGTACTATTTTATTAAAAAATAACATCAATACAGCAGATTTTTCTGCCTCCAACATTTTGCTTTACTTTATTTTGGGTTTTGGGTGAGTGTTTTTGTACATATTAATTATCAGAAACAAGCGGTAAACTCTAAAAATTCTTGGATTTTTTTGGTATATTGGAAATGCTGTAAACCAATCAGATATGTCTAAGAATGCAGCGCAGTGGATATAATTTTCACCCCAGTAAAACACCAAGACAGGATTTAACTTGAAAGTAAACTGGCAAAGGCAATTTACTTGTCCTACTCATCATGACTTGGAATTTACTAAGACCTTATTAAACTGTGACTTGGACTTAACTGTACAGTACCATGCACACATTTTTCATGTTCTAAAAAGCTTCAAAGATTCATAATGTCACTGTATGTAAAATATGATTTTTGAAATCATAAAGCCTAAAAAGCCATAAAGCCATAAAGCCATTAAAGACTAAAAGATTTGTAAAAAATAAGTGCTGGGTAAATTATCAGCCTTTTTCTTGCCAAATTCTAGGAACGGTGCCATACAAAATAAATCTCTGTCTGTAGCAAAGGGAAAAGATGTTAGTGGTTTATTTTTCTGTTCATACACAACGCTATACAAACATGCACAAACACGGAACCACTTTGAACGCAAAAAAGGATAAAACCACAGCACGGCGACTATCTATCCTTCTTCAGCTCCATAATGTAGATATTAAAACTGTAAATCTCTTTTATCACAATGATTCGATTTGATTATGATTCTTTAAGAGATGCTTCATATCAAAATCTCAAGTCTCTCAATTTTTTACTGTTTTGATTATAATACATTCTAACATTCTGAATCGCCACCTTCAGACTAATGCATCACAATGCATTGATGCATCTTTTACACCCTTAGTAAGTATATCATTCTTACCTTCTGGGGTCTGAGGGCAATTTCACTTGCATATAATATGATACCCATATGTTTCATATCAAAATGTTTCATTATTTCACTGATACTTTCCAAAACCACTGCAGCAACTTCAGTGGCTGTAAACCTTTTGCACACCATTTCACATGTATCTCTGATGGCGACCGAATGAAGAATGAAGGCTTTCCGATGTAATGGGTCATTCCTTAGTGAATTCCTGAATGTCCACTGGTCATTTTTTATACAAATTGCAGATGGAGAAACACTTTGCACATGGGCATGTTTGTGGATCCCAGAGGGTTAAATCACAAATTATTAGACTTCGATTAGTGGATTTCCTTAATGCTGTGCAAGAATATAGATGCTAGACAGTAAATAAATTGTTTTAAGTTGATTTGTTGACCGCACCATGGAACTTACTTTCTATAAACTTGCAGTCAGAAATATTTGACAAGGCACCTGCATTGAAAATGCATCAGTATGAGTACTGTTGCATTTGGCTAAACATTGTACCAGTATCCCTGCTGTACTCTCTATCACACACACCTCACACACACACACACTCTGGCCCTGTCAAGTCCTGAATTCTTTGACAACTGTCATGGTCTGAAAGTGCCCTGTGTCAGAATTAATCTTCTGCAGAGCAGGGTGGGCCGGCATAGCCAGAACCTATTTAGTGTGGCTCCATGAAATGGCCCCCCATCAGAAATATCTTCATCCTTCTCTGTCTCATCTACATGGGGAGAGAAGGAGGGATGAGATGGAGGGAGGAGGAGACGTCCAGAGTGGAAAGGTCAGTGGATTCAAGGAGTCCATCACTCTGAGGTGGCAGGCCTCCCTCAACTATGTGTATACGTGAGCGTGTGTCTCCATGCAAAAGAGACTTTAAACTGAGGTGAGTTAAAGACTCCATACAGTGTTTTTTTATATACATACATACTGCTGAATTCTCTTTGAAGTGTGCGAGCTAATGAAATGAATTAAATCTGACCCTCTTTCTTTACACTACTAGCACACTATCTGACCTCAAACCTTTTGTTAAATATATGTTCCTAAATATGTTTACATTCAGATATTAAGTTCACATTTGGCCCTAAATGAAACATGAGCTACAAAAAAAACATCTTGTAGTCGCAACAGTTGTCAAGAATTCAGAACGTACAGAAATAACATGCAGAAAAATCTCTGTAATGCAACTGCTAAATGACAAACTGGTGGAAGGCAGCTTCTTTTAAAAATGTCTGCCGAGGAGCAAAATATATGGCATGCGGTAGCAGGGAGAGAAACCAACTTCACTTTAAGGCTGATCAGTATTTACAGCTCTAATTTCAAATGTCTTGTCCTAAAAGAGGCAGAAAACATGCAGTTGCAAACAATTTCACAGAAGAAACCAAATATGTTTGCTCTAGATAAGTTGTACTCCCTCCATTCTGATTACATACATGGGCAACATCATACATGGGCAACAGCTGAAGTGTGTATAGTACAAAAGGCCCCTTTTAGACTCAGCAGGCAGTTTTTCTGGACATTCTTTTTAATCTGTTTCTTTAAAGAAGCTGTTTGGGAAATGGAGCATGTTTTCAAAAGGCAAAACAGTTGTCAATATCCTCATTAGTGGCTTGGGACCTGTAATATTTAAGCAGTTTTATCCAAAGTCAACATCTTGACAGAGATCTTGCAACTGAAAATGTTTCACAAGCTGCTGTAGTTTTTTCTTTAGAAAAAAAAAACTTCAGAAAAGCATCTTGTTTTTGTTGTATCCTCTATTATTATTACTATTATTATTATTATTATTATTATTTAGTCATGTCAAATTTCACTCGCTAGCTAGGCACCAAGTGCATGAAGGCCAGCATGTGCTTCCTCAGAACTGCTATCAATGCAAAGTGATTGGTTCAACACGCTCGGAGGAGAAATACTTATGCCCTACACTTATTTTAAAAAATTAAATAAAATAAAAACTCTCCATAAGTGGTCATTCTGCACTGCTGTACTCTGAATTTTGCATTGTTGTGCATACTATGCATGTTGCATCGATGAGAACAGTAAGAAAAAGTTTTAAAACTAAATCAAATTTACAGAAGAAATGCAAGTGAAAAAAATGGCAAAAAGACAGGTCAGGAAGTTTTTACTTTTTGGAAATATTCAGCCATGTTTTCTTGGCCTGCCCTCTTTCATTCCCACACTGAGACAAGCCAGGCCCTGCAGGATAATCACAGTCTAATAGGAGAGAATATTGAAAGCAGCAGCTCAAGCACCAGATCCTCTTTCTTACCTCTCTCTCCTCCTTTCCTAGCAAAATGTTAGCACATGGCCGCACGAGATATTGATCATTTTATAACAGCAATCAACCGTTACAAAAACAAGAGACCTTTCGGCTGACGTTCGTTTGCTGTTTGCTTTGGAGTCTTCTCTGCCAGTGGCAGCGGGAAATCTGCCTCTTGAAATTTTTCAAAAAATGCGATGGCAGCTACGAAACTTGTCCAGAAAGCAGAAAGATCCACAGAGCTTAAGCAGGAAAAACTAACATCCTCTTTCACAGCTCATGCCTTCATTGCCAGGCAAAAGAAAAAAATGAAGACAGAGAGATAAAACCCTGGACAAAAAAAACGTCTTTTCACAGGCATACAGACACAGAGTGGCTGACACGTGAAAACACACATGCTGGCTCGTGTTTTGTTTGCATGGTTTGTCGCTGTTTTCTTTTTTTCCTCCATAAGATGAAGTTGTAAGGTTGTTCTCTCTCAGGTGTCCTATTTGCCATGCATGCATGTTGCATGCTGGGAGAGCGAGACGTGTCCGCATACTGGGCCTCTTTCTAATGATTTTCCCCTACCTGCACATCTGCTGCTATTTTAATTAATACTCTAAGGAGGTTCATCAGGACTAATCAAAACCATTGTCACTTATGAGGTTGGGGCTTCGTTAAA